TCCCCCCTCCACCCGTTAAAAAAAAAAAAAAAAAAATCAGTAAATTTATTGGTATTGGTCTCCAGGATCAGATTTAAGAAACATTGGGTATATTTTTTTTCACTTTATTTAGTCTCAAAATTTTTAATACAAAAACAGTAAGATGGAAAACATCCTTACATGCAAAGAAGAATAACTGTAAAGAATTAAAGTGATTTTTCAGGAAACAAGTGAAACAAATCTGACATTGAGAATAAAGTCACTGTGTGCAGATCTATTACAAGAGTGCTACACATCTAGTTAAAGAAGTGAAAATTTGTTACATCTATACTCCTCAATGGTTATCTCAAGATATAGTATCTTTCATTTTTGCTTCAGATACTGATAAAAAATATCTTGACCTGTGAGCAACTGGCCACCTTCCATTCAAGAACAGCCGAGGAGTTCTCTCTTTGAGGAAAAGGTGATATTATGCAGAGAATTAATAAAACAACATATATAATTTGCAAATTGCTTTGCAGTTTTGAGTGAAAAATAGACCTAATAAGGTTTAATCATGTGCATATTGGTTTGGATTTACCTGGAAATTAAGGTAATCATATTAAAAATTATATTCCTGCCACAACAAAGGAACAGAGTAAAAGTAATTTTGGCTTCTTTCCCACAGTATCAAATATTTCCCAGTTCTTAACTTGTGTACAATTCTAACCACTCCACAATGTAAGCTTTTTTTTTCTTTAAATCACTTCTACTTTACATATGTCTATATATTTAATAGGGATAATTTAAAAGGGAAATCAATAACATTTCAACTCAGTACCTTGTACTTCTGGACGTAATCCTGAATGACTTTCTGTCCTACTACATTTTTAATATTCTCTTCATCCTTTTTTTTTTCCATCAGGGAAATCCAGCTCATAACTTCAGTGATAGCATGGCGAGAAGGGATTTTGTCCATCTGGAGCTGTAGAGATAACAGACTTCAAATTCTTGTTGTGAAGAAAGTGAATAAGAATTCCTTGGTTTGCATTACCACAGTACATTTCCTTTCTCTGCTCTTACTATCATGATATTCTACATGCCTAACATATCACTGAAGTTTATTAAAAAAAAGTTAAAAAAGACAAAGGTTTTAATAGGAGATATATGGTATAACTGCATGCATTCTAATAAGAAAATATTATATTAAAGGCTTCTTATTTCCGTTCTACACTGTACAAAGAAGCAGAAGAAACTCACAGACTCCATATCTGACTTCCAAAAGGTTCTGCATTCTCATTCCATAATTCTGTACTGGGCTTATGTAGCTGATCAACTTTAAGTTACACCTTAAGTCTCGTCCTTCTAAATAGCTAATGACTAGACCCATGGAAAACAATTTTATACAAGTCTTCTTGTGGTGGTGATTTTTAAATGGGCCGACTTTGAATAGTACCTAGTTTTTTTCTTACGAGTCACTTTCAGCATTTGATACAGTAGTGCTTGCTTATGTTTACTCAGAAATGTGTTCTGTGACATTTTTAGGTAGACATATGTATTTTGCATCACAAGACAGTTCAGAGAACTACCGAATGACAGTATTTTGTTTAATGTAATAGACTCGGGTAACATTTGTTACCCTGCCTCTCTCCCCCTGAATGCTACTATTAACTCTGAAAGCATTCCAAATTACAGATTGAAGCAACTGCTTAGACTGTTAACCTTCTAGCAACTAAATACTAAGCCAACTTTTAGACCAGTATAATTCTTTAACTTCAGTATTATAGCATTAAAAAACCCAAATCAATGCTCCTACATACACTAGCAGGAACCTTGTACAATGTTTTTAGATTTATTTTGTCTTGCATAGACATTAACACCAATTGGTGTTAGACAGTATGGGTAGACAGGATTTGAACATGAATGTAAGCTTTCCCACACAAAACAGGAGTAATGTTGTTGCTATCTTGCCCTACATGGACAAATTGAGGAAGGGAGCAACTATCTCTCACAGACAGTGCCAACTGTATGGCCCGAATTTTCTGGAATATCAAATGCCATCACTGGCCTTCCTTACCTGGTGCAATTTCTCTTGGACTGCTGGGATTTGTGTGAGCAGCTCTGTCCACTGACTGTCAATGTGGGACAATCCCGCACGCAATGCTGCTGTATCCACCTTCTTCAGCCTGAGGAGCTGGTTCCCAGTACTCAGAACAGAAGATTTCTGTGAGGATTTAGCATCCACTTCTTTTGAAAACTCCTGTAAGCAGAATCATTTTTGTGGAAATAATCAACTACTTGCTTACTGTACTTAAAATCTTTATCACAGAAAACTATGTCAGAATGCGCTCCCTACCCTTTAAATATATCATACAATCATAGAATGGTTTGGGTTGGAAGGGACCTTAAAGACCATCTAGTTCCAACCCCCCTGCAATGGGCAGGGACATCTTCCACTGGACCAGGTTGCTCAAAGCCCCATCCAAACTGGCCTTGAATGCTGCAAGGGAAGGGGTAGCCACAACTTCTCTGGGCAACCTGTTCCAGTGCCTCACCACCCTCAGAGTAAAGAATTTCTTTCTTATATCTAATCTAAACCTATATCTACCCTCTTTCAGTTAAAAGCCATTACCTCCATCCCGTGAAAGATGATGGAGCAGCTCATTCTAGACGAGTGGAGGAAAAGAAGGTTATCAGGAGTAGTCAGCATGCATTCACCATGCTTGATCAATCTGATAACTTTCTACGATGGCATGACTGGCTGGGTAGATGAGGGGAGAGCCATGGATATTGTCTACCTCGACTTCAGCAAGGCTTTCGACACTGTCTCCCACAACATCCTCATAAGCCAGCTCAGGAAGTGTGGGCTAGATGAGTGGACAGTGAGGCGGATTGGGAACTGGCTGAATGGCAGAACTCAGAGGGTTGTCATCAGCAGCGCTGAGTCAGTTGGAGGCCGGTAACTAGTGGTGTTTCCCAGGGGTCAGTACTTGGCCCAGTCTTGTTCAACTATTTATCAATGACCTGGATGAAGAGTTAGAATGTACCCTCAGCAAATTTGCTGATGACACAGAACTGGGAGGAGTGGTGGATATACCAGAAGGCTGTGCTGCCATTCCCTGAGACCTGGACAGGCTGCAGAGTTGGGCGCAGAGGAACCTGATGAGGTTCAACAAGGGCAAGTGCAG